GGATTAAGAAGAAGAAAAATAAATCCTTCAAAAATATCCCAAATTGGGGGAGTTATATGAGGATTTTGGAGGAGTCCAATTCTACTCACTTTTCTCTCCTACCCCCTAACAGCCTAACTCCACCAACCAAGCATGCAGAAATGATAACAACATTTTTGCATTGCATTTATATGGATTGGACAAATTAAAGATAGTGTAAATGAAAGGGAATCAAGTTATCGGACGGCAAAAATTGACGAGATATTAACAGCAATTCTAAGCTTCCTAATTCAATAGTGTCAATCAGTAGTACAGAATCTTTTCAGGATATTTGCATTCTATTTAGATATTCTGCAACCATAAACGAGCTACACCAGTCCATTTGTGTGAACTCCTTTCCTGATCCAGACACGAAATTCAGGAGCTGCTTTCTAGTTACAAAACATCGGCTCTAAAGTACTGCTAAAACGATGGAGCTCGGCATGTTTCATAGATTTAGACTCATTTAGGAGTAGATGACAATAGACAAAGGCCCTGAAATTCAGAACCTTCTTTCTCCATTTACAAAATTATCAACTATAAAAGACCACATCTTTTCAAATGATCCTTATGAAATTACAGCTAAATAAAAAAAATTACTGATCCAAGTTCATCTCAAAGAAACTTATATACTAGAGAAGCAATTACCAGAAGGTAAATCTTTCTTATCTCTGGAGTTCTTACGGCGACCATGCCGCCACCGCTGGTTTCCAGCTTCATTGGCAGCTGTTTCATCTACACTGTTGTTTAAAAACTCCGGAGGTCCAGAAACCTGCGGCAATTCCATGAAAATCAATAGCAGCCAAAGACAAAACTTACTGCCTAAAACGTACGATTGGCCACAAAAACCAACTTCAGCTTGGACATAATTAACGAAAAAGGTCACCTCGGAGAATGCGGCGAGAGCAGAAGGGAGGGAGGAAGACGGCGTAGGGTTAGGGTCGACGAGGGGCTTGTAACGGTTCAGCGAAACGGCGTCGTCCTCACCGCCGTCTTCTTCTTCGGATCTGTCGGAGTCCGGTGACTTCTCATCTACTTCACCGTCGTCTTCCTCGGCGGAGGAGTAGCCCTGCAAGAGAGTCAAGCTCATTCCGACGCAATGCACGGAGATCCGGTACCAGCTGTTGCTCCAATTTTTGACCCGGAAGCTTTTGAGGTTCGGCTAATTCACGGTCCGGTTTGAATGGACCCAATGTGGATTTGGACCAGACCAGCAGGACTATAGCCTATACTCTATAGGTGTGTTTGAAAAAAATGACTTTTTGACTGAGTTTTAACTTTTTGGACTTATTTTGATTGTTTTGACTTTTGAATATTTAAAAAATCAAATTTTATGGTTGATTTTTTTCCCCAAATTGATGTATGGCCAAAATGCCAAAATTTTAAAAAACTGAGAAATGTGACTTTTTGACTTGACATTTAGATAAAATTAGCTTGTCATCTATTCCGTATTTTTTACATTGTTCCTTAAATACGGAGTAATAAACAAAAAATATACACCGTATAAATTTATTTATCGTGTATGCATTACTTTTATTTATTTATTTATAGGTAATACGGAGTATTTCTTACTTCAAAAAATATCTTAATAATCATAGACAGACACTATATACCCCTATCTTATTTCGCCATCTTATTCGATTAGTCTCGTTAAAAACTTTCAAATTAATAATTTCTATGAATTATGTTACGGAGTATAAAAAAACTTAATTTGGACATTGACAAAAATGAAAAATGAGTGTTACCTTTATTTTGTCACAAATGAAGGGTACTGTAAATACTTCCAATAAATATTACTCCGTATTTGTTACAAAAGATATATATAATCGACTAAATCTATTGTCAACTATAACAGCATGTATTAGAATGAATGTTTTGAAGAAAAAAATTATCTAACAATATTATTTAATATCAGTATTTTCAAAGTTAATAACCATGATTAAAATTGTATAAAAAAATGCTCACCCTAATCTAAATATTGTTCCTAAACAAGGCCCAAATCAAATGAGACGGGAAGTAGTAACAGATTTCATGCAATAATAATTTTCCACTTTACAAACTTTTCCCTTGATTCGAGTGGTGATAGGACACCGCCTAGACAAAAATTTAAATGTAAAATTTATCCAAGTCTAAACTCTGTCGAGAACAACGAAAACACTAACATTTCGTATTTCAATAGGTTGAAAATATATGTACAGACATATATCGTAAGAGAGTCAATAATTAATACACACAAAAGATGGCACTCTACCATGGAAAAAAAGATGAACTCATCCTAGGTCTCTCCCTGTCAACCCCGAATTGCTTCGAACGAAGTAAATTAAACTTTAATCATAAATAGGGAATGAGATCTGTCTCACATTATGCATGGTTGTTCATTGTCGTCCCCCTTTGACTATTACGCTCCAAGATAAGAGACACATGTTTCAGGAATGTGCTCTTGGAATCTGCATGTTCCAGTGCCAAAGAATAATTCAAGAACTAAAGAGAATAATCAGAGAAGTAAAAGCTAGAGAAAGTATAATGATGATGCATAAAACCAAATACTTTCATTACCAATATAGTAAAGAATCACCTAGGTGCCATGCCATACTAGGGACTAGTTCTGAGTTGAGGCAAAGGGCAAGGGTCCCAAAAAATTTTAAAACATGTATCAAGCATGCATATAAATATAAATATAAATATATATATATATATATATATATATATATATATATATATATCCAAGCTCACAGATCACATGTGAAGCGGCAATTCTGCCCCCCAATTATACCCTTGCCAAAACATGAGGAATTCCCTTACCATTTTACGTGTCAATAGACATGCCAGAAACCTTGAGCTTGATGGCATCAAACTCTGCATTCTGTCTTTCCTCATTTGTTAGCCAGGAAGACAAGCATTGGGTGATAAACTCATTGGCAGAACCACTCCTCATGGGCCTTCCACAATATTTCTTTATGAGCTGAAAGTTTGACTCGGTAGGATGGTCAACATAATTCTCCAAGATATCTGCAATGGCACGTCGCCAGATTGGGCGGGCCCGCTTCAGGAACTCGTGCACAGCCAAAACCGGGAGGCTCACACTTCCTAACTCAGACTCGTACTCGCCAAATTTTCCATGGAAATCAGACTCCCCGAGCTTCACTAGATCGTAGGTGTCAGCTAAGTTACTGTATGCTGTATGTTTATTGAAAAACAAAAAGCTAATAATCAATCTGTACATGTAACAAAAAAACCAAAATGAGGATAATATGAAGTTATATTTTAAACCAAAAGAATCCACAAATGCTTTTTTTGCACCAGATATCGCTATTAGTCATCTGCTTTGTACAGAGTATTTAATATTAAGGTGCAAAATATACCTATTTCTAGCTTGCCACAACCACCACACTACACCTCAGAAGGGAAAATGAGAATTAATCCCTCCAACAGACAAAAGAGTTGTGTTTGTAAAACTAGTTTTTAGTATTGGAAACAAAACTCTTTGTTGCGAAGGAGGTAATGCAGCAATAGTATAATTTTTTGGGTGAAATGTTATTAGTCATCAGCTTTAAAAAAATCTGAAATCTTTGGGGTAAAGGTAAGGTCTACATCGGACATCTCAGGCTTCTCGGCATCTAGTGACTTGTGGACTCGTGGCTATTTTCGCCCCTCAAAAGGCCTGCTCTTGAGTGGGATATACTGGTTTTGTTTGGTTTGATTTAAATAAAAAACTGAAATATAGCTCAAGCATTAATATCTCCTAGGAGTAGCCAATGAATATGTTTCTAATATTGAAAGTAATTAGAAAATACTTGAAATCATAAACTAAATATCTACAACTTTATTCTCCTATGAGGAGAAAAGACCATTACTCCAAACCAAATCAAACAGAGCCAGGATATCCCACTCAAAGAGATCATTACTCCCTTCATCACCAAAAAAAACATATTTAGGGTGTGTTTGGTTGGGG